ATCCCATGAAGTGCTGATACAACCCTTTCTCCTCCCGGGCTCCCAGTCAGCCAACACTGCTGGAAGAGATGTCCCAGCACAGGGCTGGGGGCACCCAGGGCCACAGGCACCTTCCTCCCGCAGTCACCCCAGCACACTGCCATTAACAGAGGCCAAGCCCTCTCCAGGCTGGATTTACAGACAAGAATCTTCCCTTTCCAGTCAATCTTTCTCCCAGTTTTTTGCCTTTTTTTTTTTTACATGCTTGAGGCCAAGAGTGCACTGGGGTGCTTAAGGGAAACCAGCACCCAAGACACGGCCTTGTGCCCACCAACTGCCAGCACCTCGGGGACACAGATGCCACAAACACCTCACACAAGGGGGTTTCCACCCTCTGCACGTCCCAAACTCTTCATTTCCCAGCTCAGAGCGCGGGGCCAGGCTGGGGCTCGGGGCTGACGTCTCTCGTGGGAGGCAGGGAGGGAAACCCTCACCCAGCTGAGGCTCTCAAAAGCATGAAAGCAAAAAAAAAAAAAAAGGCTGTTCCTGGAAACAACTCATTGGTGTGGGAGGTGAGAATGGGAGGTGAGAAGCCTTTCCACCCCCTGGCTACATGCCGTGCGAGGGGACAGCCGGAGCCTTTTGGGGCAAGAAGCCTTCAGGGAGGGAAAAGAGACCCCAGAGGGTCAGGATGGGGCCCAGCCAGAAAATCCCTGCAGGGACAACATGGTGGGAGAGGGGATATGAAGTGCTCTCACCACAAGCTCCCTTCTCCTGGTCCAAGCCAGCAGATGCTGCAGGAGGGGGACACGTTCCTGTCGCTTTTTGTGGTGGCACAAAGAGGGGACGTGACTGAAAGCACCAAATCTCTGACGCACACACCAAAAATGAACAGGGCACCAAGAACCTGCTGCTGTGCTGCTGTGGCTGAGCAGGCAACAAGGGGGGACACAGGGATCCTGTGGGGGATCAAATCCTCTTGGTCTCCCTCTGCTCCTCAACACGGTGACCAGGACAGCAGGGATGGGGTGGAAACCAGAAAGAAGGGGTTAAGGGCAAAGGAGATTTAGGAAAGGGGGAGAGAGGTTAAAGAACACTGAATGGTAGCAGGAAAAAAAAAAAAATCAAAGGGGGGAAAAAGCATTTAGAGGGGGAAAAAGATTTTGCATAAGAGTTCCCAGGAGATGGGCAGAAAAGGGGCTGGAGTTGCAAGGGATAGCTGGGAAGAGGAGAGGATAAGTGACAGCAGAGGAGGTGAGAGCAGTGGGAAGGAAAGCAAGGAAAAGGGAAGGGAAAGGGAAGGCAGCCAGCAGGTGGGTGTGATGGGGGAGGCCCTGGAGATGCTCCCATTTACCCAGGAACAGACTAAACATCCCTGTATAGCTTCCAGCTACTCATTTTCCCATGTTCTGCCTGTTGTGGATTATTTTGCAGGCAGCTGTGGATGCGACAGGGCTTTGCACCAGGGCTGCAGCTCTCCAGAGCCGGGCTCTTGCTAAACACAGAGCTGCAGAGAGAGGGGGGGGAAAGAAGGAAATTCCACAGGAAGTTCAAATATTTTATTACTTCCTGTTTGTACAAAGTATGTCAACACTTGGCACCCGCTGTGCTATTTGTTTAGAGCTAAGGTGCCAACTTGACAGAATGTCCTTTTTTCCCCTCCAGATCTAACCCAGAAAGAGCCTGAGTGCAGGGAAGAAAGATCTCAGAGCGAGCAGGGCACTCGGAAGGAGACTGTGGGAGACCTTGGAGGGGATGCTCAGCCAAAGCCACCACTGTTATCAGCTCCACACTGGCTGTGGATCCCTCAAAGGAGCATCTTCAGCTCCAGGGTCCAGGTCTCCTGGTCCCTCCATCCCAGCTTCACCCCCGGCCCCGTGCTGGGCCCTGCCTGTCACCCGCTCCCCTGCTGTTTCTCACCCATCTCAACCCCATTCCAAACTCCTCAGAAGTTTTTCTGGGCACGGCTTGAGTTAAAAGACTCGCTCAAGGGCTGAGATGAAGCGATGGGACAGGGGTGGAAGATGAATGGGATGCTCGGAGCTGGGGCGTGGAGCTCAGCCGCGTTCCTGGCCCAGAAAACCCCACGAGAACGTTTGCTGGAGGAATTTCACTGCATCTGAGGAGATGATGCCCAGGGCTTTCCCAGGATACCAAGACAAATGGCCAATTCTTTCCACATTAAGGGTGCTTTTTTGCCTGCCCCACCAGCCCCACATCCAGCCTCCAGCCCCGGCCAGCGCTGATCCTGCACGACAGGAGCCAACACACACCACGTCCCACTTGCTTGCAGCCAAGAAAGGGAGAAAAACCCGACTTTTTTTTTGCACACGCACGCATATAAAAATATATCTACGCACGTATGTATGTTACAAAGTGTATGTATAATATATATACACACATAAAGTTTGCAATTCCTTCTGCCAGCTCCCTCCTCGCAGAGACAAACAAGGGAGAGAGCGGCACAAGCCATGGTGTTTGGCCAAAGGTGGGGATCACCAGGGCTGTACCAGCTCCAAATGCCACCTGGGGAGCCAGGTGGGTGCTGGCACACAGGGGTGCTGTGCCAGAGAGCCACCCAGTGGCAGGTGAACCAGGAAAACCACGCTGGTTTTCCAGGAGTGAGCCTGGATCATTTCACAGCTGGTAATTTCCACAACAAGGGCTCCTGCACAGGACTGCAGGGAGGGAAGGGCAAGGGGCATTATTTAAATATTTTGTTTTTTTAAATTTCATCAGAAACTGCAAACCGAAGGCTGGCCAAAAAAAATAAGGAGATTTTTATTATTATTTTTTATTCCAGTGCAAAGACACTGGATTTTCATCAATGATGAATTTTAAGCCCCAGGTCAAACTGGGAGTCAAAATATGACCTTTACTGGCAACGAATCTATGATCATCTGAAACAAATTCCAAAAAAACCACAGCTTGAGTCTAAACTTCTTCAATCAGCAATTTATGGGCTGGGAGGGTGGTGCAGGGATGGGGGAGAGATCAACCTTTGGGGTCCACACAAGGCAAGGGCATAAGCAGCAAATAAACACCACGCAGATCTCCTCAAGGAGCCAGCACTGCCAGCACGTTTTGAGGTCCACAAGTCATTTTTAAAAAAAAAATAAGTAAAAAAAAGCAAAAAACTGCTGACCTTGCACCGGGCCGGGTCCCAGGGAAGGCATCCCTCAGGCACACCGAGCCAGAGCCAGGACAAGCTTTTGCCTAATTCTGCCAAACAAAGGCAGGGCCCCGGGACAAAGAAGCACAGGGTGAGTGCGCCCTCGGCTCGGCCCCCCCCCAGCTCCCTGCCTGGCCACGGAGCCTCCCCCTCCATATCAGAAAATTTAAATTAAAGCTGGGGAGCTCTGGGGAGGGATGTTGAAATCCAGGAGGATTCACAGTGGGTGTGATTCACAGGGGTTTGGCGAGCGCTGGCTATCGGTGGAGTCAAACCAAACGCTAAGAGTAGTAACTATCTCACCTTGTATTATTATTTATGTATTCCTGATGATTATTATTATTATTATTATTAGAAAGGCGATCTGATGCAGCTGATAAGGGGCTGAGCCAGGAGTCAGGAGACCTGGTTTCTATTCCTGACCTGGAATAGTTGTGAAATTCCCTGCCCAGCCCCTGCCTGCTTTCCCCTCCCAGCCCCGGGCTGAGCCCAGGCTCAACCCACCACGACCCACGGGTGCTGATGGCTGCAAACCCACACCAGGGACCTGCCTTGTGTTTCTGGCTTAAAAAAAAAAAAAAACACAACACACAACTGAATTCCAGCTTGATAAATCCAGCCAGCAGCTTGACAGGCTCCCATAAAGCCACTCACGCTCCGAAATAAAACTGAAGGGGGAAGAAAACCCAACAAACCCCGATGCAAATCAAACCCCCTCGCCGAGGTAACAGCCTCCACCTGGCCTGACATCAAGGGGCACCGATGGCCCAACGACAGCATCAACAGAAAATATTTTCTGAGGCATATTCAGAAGGATCAAACCGTTTCCCTTCAATGTGGGCACTGACAGCTTCACACGCAAAGGGAACAAACTCAGCTTTATAGTCCCTGGGGTGGTGCTGAGCCAGCAGGAAGGCAAAGCCAGAGCCTGAAGCCAGAGATGAAGCCCCCAGGGACGAGATCCCACCACGCAGGGGGTCCCACAGAGCAAATAATACTCATGGCAAGAGGAAACTCCTCCGGCCAACAGCTCCAGAGCGTTTCCCCGCACTCCTGGGATCGCTGGAGAGGCCAAGGTGAGCTCAAACCAGCCCGACGCCGAAAACCAGCCCGACGCCGAAAACCAACCCAGCGAGGGCGACTCACAGAGCCTCCCTCAACCACGAGGCACCGTCCTGCACCCGGGAGAGCCTCCTCCACCAGAACACAGACGCTTCTGCGGTCGCCCCGTGCCTTTGGTTTTCTCCAGCAGCTCAGCCCCCGGCGCTGCCAGCCCCAGCCTTTGACGGCCCGAAAGCGAAACCACCACCAACCAAAGGGGAAGGTGCTCTCCCACAGACAGGCAAATACGAGCTCAGCACGGAGGGAACCTGCGACCATTTTCAGTTTAAAAAGCAGCAATCAGCCAATGAAGCCCAGCAAGGCACCTCTGGCTCCACAACCGCCCCCCAGCACACCCCGTGCGGCACCAGGTCGGAGCCCTTTGTGTTTTTGGGAGCTCAGAGCATTTCCCCAGCATCCCAACCCGGGGCTGTAAAACTATCCCTCCGAATGGGTTGTGGAGCACAATGAGGAGCTGTAAAACCATCCCTCCCAGATGGGACATGGAGCACAGAGAGAGCAGGAGGCAGGGAAGGACACACACCACGCTCTGCGGTGCCGAGAAAGTCCAAGGAGCCAAGCTGTGCCCGCTGCTTTGGGCTCCCTTGGCCACACCAACCCTCTCCTTGGCTACATGTGCTGCCCCAGCTGGCTCTGTGTCCTGCATCCTTTGGCCACGGAGCGCTCGGCCCCCTGCATGCCCCCTCCCCACACTCCTCAGTGCTGCCAAACAAAACACATCACTTACTTCGTGGCTCCCGGGGTCCATCTACGGTCACTTTGATGGCTCGGTGATAGGTGGCGACTTGGGTGGGGTTGGTGAACACGGTGATGGTCAGGGTGAAGCTTTTTCCTAAGGAGGGTAGCGGGGAGGAAAGAAAAAACAAAACAAAACAACAGGAGAAATGAGGATATTCACATGGGTGGGATGTTCAGCTCAGGGGGGAAAGAAAGGCTCCTGCCAGAGCAGGCTCAGACACAAATATCCACATCCACGGAACTCCAACACACACATCATTTAATTTTATGAGACGTTATTGCCGAGGCACAAAGCTCGGTCGGCTCCCACTGAGGCTCAGCTGGCTGCAGCAGGGACAGGCTTGGACCCGGTTCAGAGCGGGAGCCAGGACCTTCCTGGATGGAAAAGTCACTTGTCCCCACCTCCCCTGCCCTGTCCCCATATCGACCCCTCCACCCACAGCAGCTTCCTGGTGCTTTCCCGCTCAGATGCTTCCCCTTTTCCTGTGGGAATCTGGCCCTGAAATGCAGCACTGGATGTAGGATCCCCTCC